ATTTTGAACACATTTAAATGTGTGATAAACCAGCCTTATGTTAGCCCTGAAGAGGGGCATCGACCTCTCTGGAGGTATCTGAGGAAAAGCACCACACAAAAATGAAAGAAAAGAAAACAGATCTACAACAATCATAAAAAGGGACCAAAAGCCGGGCTCTGTGAAGGAAGCCCCAGAAAGTTCACTGACTGGAAAGCAACATTTGGCCACAAATCTTCCACAGTTATTCATGACCTGTATACATATTTCAACAACAGGATGAAGAATAATAGTCTACATTCCAAAAGGCACAGACAGGGGTCTACAAACCTTTGAAGGCCACCAACAACATCAGCCTGCATTCACCTATAAAGTCAGGCTGCTTGTGCATGGAGAGATAAGAACATGCAAGACAGTGGGACTTGTTGCATCCAGGAATGAGATGTCTCAATCCGGTTCAACACAGAATGGCAAATTAGAGCGCTCTAATGTATTCTGCTGCTTCACTGTGAGTTAGTGTGTCGTTTCACGCTTTGCACGCATGAATCCTATTCTCGTTTCTGTGTGTACTCCCTGTGACCGCCCATCTGAGTTCTCAGGCACCAATTACTGCAAGACTTGTCCGTTTTTCCTCTGTGTTGGAAACGATGTGGCTTGCCCTACAAATAACAGCACCACTACTCCCACAGATCTGCAGATTCTCCCTCAGCCCGCGGCCCTCCAATGCAATCCAGGAGAAATGATAATTATGACATCCACCCACTCAAGAGGCACGACAGTTCAACTCCTTTACCCTTATTCTGGCTCTTTTTCTGTTTCGGTGACTGATCCAATATTTTGTTAGCAAGTGCTGCCTACTCCTTGTCTCAGAAAATAAGAGACACTCTTATTTATCCAGCTGGAGACTGCACTGGGTAAAAAAGTTTCACTGGGCAGCCTGAAGCTTAATCCCTGAGTTGATGCTCCAAATATGCATCAGTCAGGCCAATTTCCTTTGGTTACTTTACACATTACAGCACCTGGTCAAACACATAGCTGTGCCTCCCTTTACTGCCAACAGTTTGTTCAGAAAAGGGTCTAACCACCAGCGCACTCCCTGGTATTTAGAAGTAAACTTTTTTTTTTTTTTTCAATGATTTCCAGCTTCTGGGTGATTTTAGGCACTATGCCTCTGATGTCAGTGTGCAAATAATTGCATGCAGTATCCTGACCTTTGTGTAATTTGTTTAACTGGCCCATAATCAATGGACTTATCTTAAGTTATCCAGTCACAGGAGGCATTAACAGTCTATACCTTTATTCTAATTAGTGATAGTAGGCAATATCACAATTAACCTTTGATTCATCCAAGCAAAAAATTAGGGTCCAGATTCCATTATGCCACTCTCAGCCCTAAAGCTAATTAGGCTGTGTGTTCCTCATTAACTTTTACTCAAACATAACTCTAACCTCCCTGAATAATTGAGGGGGAAACACAAATGCAGGCCTGCAGGTCAAAGTGAAAACTGATTAAATTAGCCATAGAAGCTGTGCACAATAATTCCACCAGCTGCTATTTACAGTTAGCTAAAACTAAAGTGTTGTTTCTCACTTTCTGACATGAGCCACAGCAGAACATTTTACATTTGTGCTTTCTGGTGGTTTGAGTTTTCTAGCACGCCTGTATGCAATAACGCTAATTGAGATATTCATCCTGGTAAACATGTCATCAGGGGCCCAGGAATATTTACCAATAACGCGTTAAGTCCCCCCACCCCCTGTTGCAGCTCTTCTTGGATTTGAAGCAAACTTTCGGGATTCTTGGGGTGAATAACAATATAATAATAATACGTGGGCATATCAGTCCACGTTAACGTAAGCCGGAGCAGCACCGTGGGATTCAGGAACTGCGTGTGGCAAACAGCCAGGTAAGCTTGCTTTAAGGAAGCCCCCCTCAGGGAAAGTCACTACTACTTCTCTGTCAAATGTATTTGTTTTCCTTTTTATATTAAGCTTCTCCATTTGAAATTGTGTCTGTTAATTGACATTATTAGTGGCGAGGTCAGCTCTTTTATAAAGAGTAAATTAACTAAACAGCAGCTGAGAACCTGCCCGTGATGGACACCTGCGTTCCCTTATTCAAACATTCCGCAATGACACTGTCCAGACCCATGTAAAAAGCTGGCTTAAACAGTAATTAAGCCCAAAACTAAAACCCTATTCTTACTAATAAAAAAAAATATATAACTTCAAAATAAAACTAAAAAACAGCAAATCGTGTTCCGGGCTCTGATTCGTGACTTACCGACTATAACTGATGAAAACAGAGGACGGGTAGTCCAAATGTCACCATACTCGGTCCGCCACTAAACGCTGAGAGCCGACTCGCTGAAGGGGGGCGAGCAGAGTCCCTCCCGTCCGCTTAGCTGCTCCGGAGACGGCAGACACACTGTGAGAACTTCACAGGGGTCCGTCTGGCCCCTTCTTGTCCGCTGAAGCCTACAGTCTCTCTCGAGTCTTTAATAGCTGCCTCGCGCGGCCGGCCAATTAGCCCCAATGCACTGAGAGCTCGCGCGGAGCTTTCACGCGGGTCCCGGGATGATGAGTTCAGCCTCTGCACTGTTAATATGGATA